GGGGTGCCCGTAGCAGTTTCGGGGTGCGGGTTCCGGGGGGGTTTTGGGGCTGTGTTTCCTGGAAGCCGCCTGGCCCCGCCGATAACCGCAGCTTTCCGCTTCCGTGCCCGCCGGGGCTTTTCGCAGAAGCGGCCGCGACTTCCCCGAACTGGGCTGTAAATAAGAGCGGGGGGAGAGAGGGGGATTAAAGATTAAAGATGAAAAATTTGTAAAAAAACAGCTGCTGGGGAAGGGGGAAGGGGGAGCTGCAGGGACACCTCAGCACCTGCCCCGCCGGGGCTTTGGGGAGATTTTGGGGAAGCGGCTCCTGCAGCAGCTGGGGCTGAGCTGGGACCCGAAAGCTGCCGAGCTCATGCAAATGCACAAAATCCCCCTCTTGGCCAAAATACCCAAATTCGTGCCCTTTTCTGGCTCGCTGGCTGCTCTGGCTCCAGGTGTGGCGATTTCTCCGCGGGGTTTTAGGGGGGCTGCTCCTGTGTTTGTGGGGCACAGATTCCCCTTTGGGGAACCCCCACAAATCTGTGGGGCAGGGGTGGGTCCATGGGGAGATCCTGGGGGGACGAGACCCACACCCCAGGACAGAAATGCTCTGGGGGGACAGGGGCTGCCTGGACCCTGTACCCCCAGTGAGCTCCAGTGCAACCTCAATGTGCCCCAGTGTGCTCCCAGTGCGCCCCAGTGAGTTCCAGTGCACCCCAGTGTACCCAGTAAGCTCACAGTGTGCCCCAGTACACCCCCAGGGTGCTCCCACTGTACCCAGTAAGCTCCCAGTGAGCCCTAGTACACCCCCAGTGTGCCATAGTGTGCTCCCAGTGTACCCAGTAAGCTCCCAGTGTACCTCAGTACACCCCCAGTACATCCCCAGTGCACCCCCAGTGTGCCCCAGTTCCTCCCAATGCACCCCAGTGTACCCAGTAAGCTCTCAGGGCACCCTAGTGCACCCCCAGTGTACCCCCAGTGTACCCAGTAAGCTCCCAGCGTACCCCCAGTGTGCCCAGTAAGCCCCTACTGCACCCCCAGTGTAGCCAGTGAACCCCCAGTGAACCCCCAGTGTACCCAGTAAGCTCCCAGTGTATCTCAGTACACCCCCAGTGTGTCCCACGGCAGGGAAATGTCCCCGGGGGTTTCGGGGTGACCCCCCCAAAGCGGGTGGAGGAGCCGGGGGCGGGCTCGGGTGACTCATTTGGGCTGAAATGTCGAATTTTCGGCGCCTTTGGCGCTGGGTTTCGAGGCGTGGGCGGTGTCACGCGCTCCTGTGGGGTTTCGGGGGGCTGGGGGGGTGTTGGGGGTCCCATCCTGACCCCCCCAAAGTGCGGTGCTGTGCCCTGCAGAGCTCCTGTCCCCAGCCGGGGTTTGGGGGGTTCTGGACACCCCCTGCCCCCCTGCCCGGTCCCTTTTCCAGGAATTCGGGTGCCCGGGGAGCCCCCAAACCCCTTTCCCTGCTCCCGAGCCTGGCCAGGGTCACTGGGCTGCGTGAAGGCTTCTCCTTCCTCCTCCTCCTCCTCCTCGCCCTCCTCCTTTCCCCCTCCTCTTCCTCCTCCTCCTCCCCCGGACTCCCAGCCCCCCCTGGCCTGAGGGTTCTGGGGTACAGGGGGTGCTGAGTGGATGCGGTTTGGGATTTTGGGGTTCTGGGGGTACAGGGGGTGCTGAGTGGAGGCGGTTTGGGGGGGATTTAGGGGATTTAGGGGTTCTGGGGGTACAGGGGGTGCTGAGTGGAGGCGGTTTGGGGGGGATTTAGGGGATTTTGGGGTTCTGGGGGCACAGGGGGTGTCCCGGCAGTGGGGCAGGGGTCAGTGGGTGCGGGGCTGGCCCTGCCCAGGGTGCGGGACCTGCCCGGGCAGGAGCAGCGGTGACTCAGGCAGGAATGTGCTGGCAGGACACGGCGTCCCTGTCCCCGCGGCACGGCCCGGCCAC